CCTCCCCCCTACTTCCTTTTTAGTAGGGTCTGAAAGGAGACCTGTAGGTTGTTTAGTTATGAGCAGTGTTCCTTTGGGCCAACTTTGATGACCCCACCCTTTTTCCCTGCCCACTTTCCAAAACCTGTGTTTCTTGAGTTTAGTTTGAGAAGCAGAGGGGAAAGACAGGGGGCCTCACAGTGATGGATTTAAGGCAGACCCAGAGTAGGGTGTGGTCTAAAGCAACCAAAACTTAGTTTCACTCTACTTTTTTAAACATGGAAATTTGGCGCGGGGGTGGGGGTGGGGGGTGGCCTTGGATCACTTAGAAATAACCCCAGGGCAGCATTTTGAGGGTCACCTCTGTCCTCCATTTTATTACTGCTTTGATGTCCCCGGGGCCTCCATCCTATGGCCTGGCCTTCCTGGCTCTCCCTCCTCCACTTCCGCATTTCCTTCCCTGCTTCTCTCCCCAAAACAGGGAGCAGGCTGCAGTCTACACTGTGGGAGATGCCAGGCTACCCTCCTAGGGCGGTATGGGGATGTGTGGTGTCTGGATTTCCAGGACAGGTTCCAGTAGGTGGGACAGCAGTGCCGTCAGGGCTGTCTTACTTGGGTGGTATATAGTGCTAGTAATGACTGCCTTTCTCCTTTTTTTTTGAAGGCCTTGCTCTAAGCTCTGAGTGTGTTTGGGAGGTCTGGGCACAGCAAGTGGGGAGGATGCTGTGGGCTGAGGAACCTGAAAGCCCAGAAACAGAAATGAACCTGCTGTGGAGTAGGCTTGGAAAGGCACAGGGAAGACTGGAACCCTGCAGGGTTGGGGATGGTGGGGAGAGTCCCTGAAGCTTTTCCCAGGAGAGGTGGGAGAATCAAAGTGGTTGATGTTTAAAGAGGATGCTTGGAGTAGTTTTCCCTAATTCCCTTGAATTCACCAGTAGATTTTTATACACAAAAATGCAAGTCTGGATGTTTTCTCTCTATTATTATAGGAGTGTTCTTTTCTATGTGGAAGATGAATGGTATATGCTGTATTTGAGTAAAATCCTATTAATTCCTTTCTCTATTTTTGCTTGCTGGCAAAATTGACATTTACAGGCCTGCTTTTTGCTTGTAATTGAGAATGTGTGCAAAAATATCAAACTTGTTCCTGTGCAGTATGACACCTGTGAATATTCATTAATATTATCAGCTTGTTCTGGCCTGTCTGTATATATAGTTCTAAGAAATATAATTTGAATGTGATCTTTGAAATTTTGCAAATTGTTGCTTTGTCTTGTGAAAGTAATCTCAAAAAGAAAAACATAACTCTATTGTCTTGATATTTCTTGCCCTAATAATAACGTTGTACTTGACATTTTATGTTCCTAACCTTAAGTGTAAGTACTTGTAGAATTGCTCTGTCAAACTAAACAAGGATCATTAAGTACTTTAGTCTTCTTTGTGCTCAAAGGAAAAATAAAGTCTGTCGCTCTGCTGTATTTCTTGTTTTCACCAAAAAATAAAAATAAAGTTCTGTGTTGTCTAGGCTAATAAAAGGTTGGGAATTCATTAAAGTTATCAAATTGTCACAGTAAGCATTTTCCTGAAGCTTCAAAAAAAAAGCCACCAAATTTCTAAGACATTTTTTTCTTGGAAAAGGGTAAATAAGAAGCCTAACTAACTGCATGCTCATGAACATAATTTTTCCTATTCAGCCAGTGCAGTTATTGAAGGTAATTGAAGCACCATTTCTTGATTTTAGTCATTTACTTAAAATACTGTTTTTAGTAGAAAACATTTTTGGCTTTTTAAGTTTTTATTTTAATTCCAGTTAATTAACATACAGTGTTATATTAGCTTTAGGCCTACAATATAGTGATTCAACAGTTTCATTCATCACCCTGTACTCATCTTAGCAAGTGCACTCCTTAATCCCTATTACCCATTTAACCCATCCCCTCACTCCCTCCTCTCTGGTAGCCATCAGTTTGTTCTCTGTAATTAAGAGTATTGTTTCTTGATTTGTCTTTTCCCCCCTTTCCTTGTTTTGTTTCTTAAATTCCACATATGAATGAAATCATAATGGTATTTGTCTTTCTCTGACTTATTTCACTTAGTGGAAAACTTCTTTTATAAAGATTTTTATTTATTTGACAGTGAGAGATACAGTGAGAAATACAGTGAGAGAGGGAACACAAGCAGGGGGAGTGGGAGTGGGAGAAGCAGGCTTCCTGCTGAGCAAGGAGCCTGATGTGGGGCTCGATGCGGGGCTCGATCCCAGGATCCTGGGATCATGACTTGAGCCGAAGGCAGCCGCTTAACGACTGAGCCACCCAGGTGCCCCTGTGGAAAACTATTCTTAATGCACCATTCTTGTTTACTACCTTTATGTTAACTGGTCTTAACTCTTTTCTCCGTGAGCTTAAGATAGACTTTTGGAAGAAATTAATCTTTGTGTATTCTGTAAGTGCTTAATTTCTTTTCCTACAAGTGTGTTGCTTTAAAAAGAATAAAAAAAATTGTGACACAGTGTCTAGAAACAAATGATCTCAGACATCTCAATCTAATTACCATTATGTTTTGCTGTTCAGCAGTTGTCACATGAAGGTTTGGAAGCTAAATACTTCTGCAATCTCTGGAGTTGAGGGAGCTATGGATATTGCAAGACCTGTGAAAAGGAATGGTATTTTTAGCCATCTAAACAAAAATTTTACATAAATGGCCCCAAATTATTATTAAACAGACCTGCTGACTCTTGATGCAATCCATACTTGGAAGTTTTACTTAAGTATAATTTTTTCTAGGCCTGGAGAACTTTAAGTTTTAGAGAGCTAGGTTTTCTTTGCAAACTCTACACCCAACTTAATCCTAAATTTTCCTTATAGTGTTCATTTTACCTTTTCAATTTAGTGATTGATTTTTTTCTGCATCAACCACTTGTGTCAAGCATTTTCTCTTATCCTTTTCTGGACATGGTCAGAAAAATGTCATTTTTGTTGCCCTTGGTTTTCAGCTTTAACCAATAGTATTCATTTTTCTAGTAGGTTGGTGCCCCTCGATTGTTAGATTACCATGGTTTCTGTTCTGTTTAATAAAATTAGACTCGGGCGCCTGGGTGGCTCAGTTGGTTAAGCGACTGCCTTCAGCTCAGGTCATGATCCCAGGGTCCTGGGATCGAGTCCCGCATCGGGCTCCCTGCTCTGCAGGGAGCCTGCTTCTCCCTCTCCCACTCCCCCTGCTTGTGTTCCCTCTCTCGCTGTGTCTCTCTCTGTCAAATAAATAAATAAAAATCTTTAAAAAAAAAAAAAATAAAATTAGACTCAATTAGACATTATGTAGGTTTCACTTTACTAGTCAGTTGGTTTACTCCTATATCCCTGTTCCATTTCTTTTCATTGCCTTGTTTTTCTTTCTCAATTCTAGACCCAAATAATTCCTTATGCAGACCTTCAAATCAGTTGCGAGGTTCTCTTGTCCTCTGTTCACCAAGGAAGTATCATTTGGTCTGCTCAGGCCATATTGCCGTTAGTAGGGTCATTCTTCGTAATTCCCCTGGTGCCCACATAACAGAATCTCCTTGGGCATTCTTTTCCATTTCTGGGTATTCAGCTTAGACCAGACTGACAAAAGGCTTCTCTAACCTTCCTTACTCAGGGTCCCTTCTCCCCACCACTCCTGTTGCTGCTACTGCTTCTCCTTTATCTCTAGTTGACTCCAGTTTCTGTAATCAGTGTTTATCATAAAAACAAACAAAAATTACCTGTATTCTTACTGAATCCCCTGCTCCGCAGAGTCACAGTTTGAGCCCTGGATACCTGATTTGCGTCAGAGATAGCGTCTCTGGTTTGACAATCTCCAGAAATCTGAGGTATGTCCCGCACATCCGTTTGTGTTCTCATGTTACTTTCATAGTCCTGACACAGGTCTTACTATCTCCATTTAAATAGTTGAGAAAACAGGCTCAGAAAGTTGAAGTAAATGTGCCTAAGATGCAAGTCACAGAGACGTGAATTTTTTTATTTCAAGCCTAGGGTATCCTCCATTATTATAAACATCTATACTAAATTTGTCATAAAACAAAAATCGTATTTATGTGAATAATCAGGACTCAGTTGAAGTTATTCTTCATTCATGATTGGTCTTTGAAAGGGATACTTTTTTTTAACCACTTAATACAGGGTTCCATACAGTCACAGATTAAAACACTACTGAAACTTACAAATGCAATTTTTTTTTTTTTAAAGATTTTATTCATCCATTTGACAGAGACACAGTGAGAGAGGGAACACAAGCAGGGGGAGTGGGAGAGGGAGAAGCAGGCCTCCCGCCGAGCAGGGAGCCCGATGCGGGGCTCGATCCCAGGACCCTGGGATCATGACCTGAGCCGAAGGCAGATGCTTAACGACTGAGCCACCCAAGTGCCCCAATCTTGATAACTGCTGCAAAAATAAATGAAATTAGCAGTTTGTTGCCTTCATCAAAGGGAGTAAATGTACCAAAAGGACTTTAAATATTATATTTATGAAATTTAGTTGCTAGGAACTATAAAGAAGTGTTGACATTTGTATTAAATTTAGAGAATTTGAATATTTTTTAATTGATTCAACATGGTGATTGCTTTTAATAGGCACTTAATAATTTATTTTAATTTTTAAATTTTTTTTTTTAAAGATTTTATTTATTTATTTGAGAGAGAATGAGACAGAGAGAGAGCATGAGAGGGGGGAGGATCAGAGGGAGAAGCAGACTCCCTGCTGAGCAGGGAGTCCGATGCGGGACTCGATCCTGGGACTCCAGGATCATGACCTGAGCCAAAGGCAGTTGCTTAACCAACTGAGCCACCCAGGCGCCCCCTTTTTTTTTAAGTACAATCTACCCCCCCAATGTGAGGCTAAACTCACACCCAAGATCAAGAGTCTTCTGCTCGGGCGCCTGGGTGGCTCAGTCATTAAGCGTCTGCCTTCGGCTCAGGTCATGATCCCAGGGTCCTGGGATCGAGCCCCACATCGGGCTCCCTGCTCTGCGGGAAGCCTGCTTCTCCCTCTCCCACTCCCCCTGCTTGTGTTCCTGCTCTCGCTATGTCTCTGTCAAATAAATAAATAAAATCTTTAAAAAAAAAAAAAAAAAAAGAGTCTTCTGCTCTACCGACTGTGAGCCAGCCTGGTGCCCCATTCTTCTCTTTATTAAACTTTAATAAGCTTTAATCTTTACCAAGAAAGTGCCAAGGCCAAAGCACCGATAAAGTAAAATAGTCTTTTTTTTTAAGACTCTGAGAACAGGTGCATGGTATAAGAACCTGACTGCCAAGCAGTCTATGTGATATTGTAGTTGTCATTCTAATTAATGACCCAAATTCTCTCAATAGGCCCAGATATCCCATCTCCCATTAAGTTTACTTGGATCGGTTTTCATTATTCCTTTTCCATTTTGGTTTCCTCAGCATCAAAGGGGAAATTTGCTAAGTGTGCAAGGTGAATGTTTGAACCTGAATATGAAGAAAGAGTAGACCTGCTTACTAATAACTTTAGTTTATGTGGCTTCCAAGAAGAGTAGACTTCATTATATGTTTTAGGACTCCCATGGTTCTTGGTTCTCTATTTTACTCTTCCAGGTAAGTTCTATGTTATAGATCTTTGCTTTAATATTTTTTACTAAATTGTTACTTTAGGACAGAGCCTGTGTATTTCTAATCCCTCACATGTCCTAGCATGATGTGACTGTTAAATTGAAGTGTGGTTTTAGACTGAGAATTTGCCCCGATCTTTTCCAATGTTCGAAGACTTTTATGTGTCAGTCAACTAAGGGCATGAATTTTGGGGTGAAACTTGGGCTCATGTATAGACTCTGTTCCTTAGTAACAGTACAATTTTGAGCAAGGATGTTATTTAACCTCTATAAATTTCAATGTCCTTATCTGTAAAATTTTAATAATTATACACACCTCATAGGGATGCTGTAGGGGATAAATAAGGAACATGAAGTAGCCTGGTGAAGAGTTAGCACTTATAGCCGTTATTTTTTTGCCATTATTTCTAGAGACCAACAAGAGATACCTTTTTGAATTCACCCTATGTGGACTGGACCATGCCCAAGGATTTTCATGGGCAGCGCAGTGGGTCTTACGGTAACTCTGAGAAGAGGTAAGGGAATGTTACTGTAACATCACATTTAAGAAAAAGCTATCCATGTGATTCTAATATAGTCAAGGTTATTATATCCAAAGAGAGTGTGACATTCTATTTTATGCTGGTTTGTTATATACAATAATCATATAGATTTTTCATTCAAACCAGTTCAATAAATGTGTGTGTATATATGTATGAGTGTGTATATATACATATATGTGTGTGTATATATATATATATATATATTTTTTTTTGCTTTAAATACATGTATTTAAAGTTGTTGGATATGAAAATTGGTGGGGAAATAATACCTGATTTCAAGTTTAAAAAACTCAGAAGTATAGTTGACCCTTGAACAATGTGAGGATTAGGGCCCCATCCCCCATACATAGTCAAAAATCCATGTGTAATGTTTGACTCCCCTGCCAAACTTGACTACTAATACCCTACTGTTAACTGGAGCCCTTACCGATAACATTAACACATACTTTGTATATGTATTATATGCTATATTTTTATAATAGAGTAAGCTAGAAAAAAGAAAATGTTAAAATCATAAGGAAAATACATTTACAGTACTGTATCGAGAAATATTTGCATATAAGCGGACCCGTGCAGTTCAGACCCATGAATTTCAAGAGTAAACTTTAGTTGATTTTAGATTGCAATTCATGGTTTAACTGAGGTTTCTCTACCTCAATATTCCAAAAACGAAATTCTGACAAACTGTTACCACTGTGACATTCAGATCTTACCTCTGCTGATGAGACCAACAGTGGCCAGCAAAGAAAATCTAAAATCTCTTGCATTTATTTGTAGTGATCTTTCAGATGATGAATGTTTGCCTTATGCTAATATTAAACTTAAGTCCTCCGTCCATTTACACAATTTTCCTGCTTTCTTGCTTCATTTAACTTTATTAAAGAATATATAGCTTTTCTTCTCTAATATCTTTTTAACTTTTATAGTGCCATTTTTAAATTATTTTTACTTTTCAGATCCAATTAGAAACACTGGCACTTTTTAGAAAAAATGAAATAAAAAAACTTAAAAGTCTAATTATCCAACAGAAAAACAACATTCATTAGAAGAACTGACTCTGCTAGAAGGGTATTAGGAAACTTGGAAATAAAACTCTAACCTTGTCTTTTGACAAGATGGAAAAAACTGAGGTCAGATTAGATATATATGGTAACTTGTTCAGATCCCTTAGGTAAGTACGGGTAAAAGTAGGATGGGAACTTCTGATTTGAGTTCCATTTTCTTTCAATCCTTAGTGACCAAAAAAGTGCAATTAACATATTTTGGGGTTCTCATTTTTCATATTAATAATAATAGTTTATAAGCATTTAAAGATACATTCTTGGGGCACCTGGGTGGCTCAGGCGTTAAGCGTCTGCCTTCAGCTCAGGTCATGATCCCAGAGTCCTGGGATCGAGCCCTGCATAGGGCTCCCTGCTCAGCGGGAAGCCTGTTTCTCCCTCTCCCACTCCCCCGCTTGTGTTCCCTCTCTCGCTGTGTCTCTCTCTTTCAAATAAATAAATAAAATCTTTAAAAAAGAAAAAAAGATACATTCCTCTTTCCCATTGACAAAATAAATCCACATAAGGGAAAACAGCTTTATTTTTAAAGAAATTAAATATCTATTTGTATACGTCAGACAGCATCTTCCACTTAGCCCTAAGCTGACTGTGTGTTCGTTAGTATATTCCAATAAGATTTTGGAAATCAGTTTTAAATACATTACCATATACTTATTAGTAGATATCAAACAGAGCTACTGACACTGAGGAAAAAATTTCAGTAACTGTTTACCCACCCTGAGATACTCATTCCCACAATACCTTTGGGATTATTTGAGCATTTAAAAATTTAATGAAATATTTATCTTTTCACTGCATGCATCAATATGTTAAGTTCTCTGCTACAATCCAGGTAAAATAATGATAGTGACCATTGTGTTTTCTGACACTGTCCATGATGGACAGAGCGAAATTATAACATAAAGAGTAGCCAGGAATTTATTGTAAACATCTGGCTCCAGACATCTTGCCACACGTAGCTACTATTCGAGGACTATACGAAGCACATGGAACACAATAATCCTGGATTGTAATATAACTATGAAACCTCTTAAAGCATTTTTCCCAATCTTTTTTTCATTACTACCCACCCCGGAGAAAAATTAAATTCAACCAAATTAAATTTAATTAATAAATTTAACTTTAAATTCTGTTTTTCCCTAATGAGAGAAATTAATGCTAAAGAGTAAGATTTACTGGGTAGGGTTGAGCTTTGGAGGGGCACAATTCATTGCATTATCTAGTATTTTTTTCACCCCAAGAACCAATTTTTGTCCCATTGAGAATATATACCTTAAAGTGAATGAAAATTAATTATATAGCCTTTAACATTATTGGGGGGGAAAAACCCTTATGAGTAACATTAGAGGTTGAAATAGCTGGCTTCTCATTTCATTTCTGTCCCATACTGGCTGTGTGGTCTCACAAGAAATCCTCTTTAGCTCCTTGTTTTGGAAAACTTAAGAATAGCATAAAACCTGATAGCTTGGATAGCCTATTCTCACTAGACTCAGTATTTTTGGTTTTAAGTGGAAGGAACAGATAGAGATCAATTATTCTCAATTCTGGCTGCACTTTTCCTGGGGCAGGTAAAAGATGTCAGTGCTCATCTATATTTCCAGACCAATTAAACCAATCTCTGGAGGTTATGGTCTAGCTAGTGATTCTTGAACTTTAGTATATGAATCCACTAATATTAAAACACAGGGTGCTGGGTTGCATCCCCGACATTTCTGATTCTGCAGGCCTTGCATGGGGCCTGCAAATTTGTATTTCTATCAGATTCTCAGGTGATGCTGTGCAAGTGGTTTGGGGACTACACTTTAAGAACCACTGGTCTAGGCATATGTGTAAATTGTGTGTGTGTGTGTATGAATACATGTAGATATTACACAGGTGATTCCTAATCCCCAGATGAATCCTAATCTCAGAACTATTGGTATAGAAAATATTAAGGTTCTTTTCAGTTCTAAGATACTGAGATTTTAATGTAATGAGAGTTGTTGGGCATAAAGATGGTCTATACAGAAAGGAGACCTATGGAAAAAACATCAATTTCTTGGTCAGTTATCATTAAGAATTTGTTCCTATAAAGCATTTTATAGTATTTTTTGAAAGGTAACATTTTTACAGTAGACTTGCTGCATATATAGTTCTTCACTTCATTTTTCAGTAAAGACAGTTTATTTGGTTGCCAGTGTCTCATTATTTGATAAGATCAATGGAGGGTTTGGATAGTAGCCAGCTGTTTTTGAATTGCTTGAAGAAAACCTTGAAAATTTGTAGTCCAGGGGTAATTCTGGGAAAAAGAACAATTTTATTATTTTCCAGATCTCAAAAGGCCATTCATAAACATAAACAAATCAAAATTTGAGTCACTGATAATAAAACTTATTTTTTAGAATTTCGTGATTTTAATTTCTTTTGTCACCTGGATAGGTTGCACCTAACATGAAGAGTATAGATGTTTTTCTCCATAAAATTTACAATAATTTAAGTCAAGATACATTTAGAAGTTTTATAAATCATCTTCAGAGATCTAACTAGTGAGTTAAATTTTAACATTCTCTGTACAAAAGTTAACACATAAAATAGGCATGCTCATCTAATTATTTTTTTTAATTTAAAAGTCTCTCAGGCTCTACTCAGAGCATCATGTAACTGGTAAATGAGAACTAATAATCTTTTGGCCCCAGTAATAGAGTTACTAAGAATAATTTTTGAATGCTTAGATAAATAAGGATTTTAATATACACAATGTGGCAGCTTTCTCCATATGATAATCATCTCTCTCTCTCTCTCTCTCTCACACAAACACACACACACACACACTCTCACACACGTGCATGCACAGCCACAAGGGAAATTGAGAGAGAGAACATAAAATGCATACTTTATTGATGGGGAGACATTGTGACATCTTTAAATTTCTCAAAAGCCAGCCTTCAGATATCTTCTTCCCAAATTTCTTCCAAGGAAACATTACCAGAAATATTACAAGTGAAACGTTATGATATATGCCATGGTATGATACTCATTCCACATGCAGATGCTGGGCAATAATCCTTATTTCAAAATCTCACAAGTAAAACATCATTTAGAAGTACTGAGTACTTTGAAAATGACACTAGCATAAAAATTATACTTTATATTAAATGCCAGTGAGAATCATCAAGTCCAAGTAGTTAATCCTTATGAGGAAAACATTAGTGCTAGAAATAGGGAAGCAGGAACACTGCCTGTCTGATGCCTGAGAAACTTAAGATGTTGTAAACAGAAAAACGTTCAATATTAGTGAATTTCATTGGTCTTGACTGCTCAGTTAGCTGTGGTATATTTTGAGCCACACATTAAAAAGGCATTGGAAAGTAAATTGCTAACACTGAGTTTCTAAAATCATATATCTGAGGTCTTGGATTTCTGATAAGCCACCAAAATGATATAGGCTAAGAGTTCAACCAGTTATCTTTTCCTCTGTCTTTCCTATACATTTGCTGAAGTAAATGTTTAGGTTTCTGCGTAGCTATTACTAAAAGGTTAAAAATGGTTACATTATCATGATCCTTATAAACCAATCATCATTATAATGTATATATAGCTAGCAAATGCAAACTTATACAATCTATAAAGACGAGTCTTTGTATTTAAATGTCAATGAGATAACCAAACCTAACAAGATATTCATTAAGAATGAAACATTTCATGACTACAAAAAGGTTTTAAGAGGCAAAGGGGGAGTATTTGTTTTTCACCTTCTATCTCACTTAAAGCAAACATTTTCTCTTCCAGGTAGCAGAAAAGATCTGTTAAGAAATCTGGGCATTTTATAACCAGGTGAGATCAGATGACTCTTCTATTAAAACAAGGATCTCCAGACTGGGGATTCAACAAGAGGGAAAGAATGGCATCTGTTACAAGAAAGTCATTTCTGGGGCTCTTTGGAAGAAAAGAGAAAGACAAGACAAATCCTGAATTCTTATTTACCACAACAATATTCTATTAAACTCTGTGTATTAAATACACATCATATCAACCATATTAGCTAGCAATTAAATGAAGTGAGCCAAAATGAACAAATATTCTTGAACAGTAAGTTCAACATAAAATATAACAGAAACAGAAAAACTCTGGATCTTTTTTTTTTAAAAGCTATTAGCAGGATAACATGTATATAAAGATTCTATCCTCAACATGTCTGAAGCCATGGCCATCAGTATTTTTCTCCCAGCTATTTTTCTTACTTGAGAAATAAGGTAAATTACACAGTCGTATCCAACTTTACTGAATATGTTACTGAAATAATCAATTTCAAGTTTTCTGTGAGACAGAACTTCTTTATGAGAATGTGAACATAGCAGAGTGCTAACTTAGAGACTAACACTTTGCTTTCTGAGGAAGTATCCTGGACATCAAAATCAACAATTGAACATGACACATCAACTCTCTCCTCCTTTCACCACAAAAAATCGGTACATGTTTAGCTTTGTTTGACTGCTGTTAAGTCCTTAATATTTTCTCCTGAGAAAAGGTAGAAGACAAAAGCCCAGAGCCAAGTTCTTTTCCAGGGGGCTGTGGAAGAAAGCTTTTGGCAAATGAAAATGGGAGATGCACTAATGTTAATACTGCTTCTTTAAGGAGAGGTAATTACCCCCAGAAGATGGAGAGGGGGTTATTTTCTCATTCTTCGGAGAAATATTTAAATCCTAGAATAATGAAGATTCACTTTACTTTGACTTTCTTACTATTTCATAACCATATCCCATTGAACCAGTTTTTATCCACGTACTATTGCAATAATTCATTGGCTTTATCACATTACTTTATTCTCTCACTATAAATTTGAATCACTTTGAAATAAAGGAAGAATGAAATAGAAAAACTGAAAATAATAGTTTAATTCTGGGCTAGCCCCTTCCTTCAAGTTACAAGTTCCATTTCTTTTACAGGGAAATTGTTTGTAAAAGGAAGAAATATATTTAGGTTATCTTTCTATCTAATCTTATGTGTTTAGGCATGGAACGAAATGAAAATTAAACTATTCTTTTGAAACTAATGAGAATGAGATATTATTTTAATGAGGATATACTGACATATTGGATTTGTACGCTGGCATAGAGAATGGACTTTTTGGAAGGTTATATGTATTTTAGGGTTGTAATTATCATCATATCATCATCATCACCCTATCAATAATTCAGATAAATATTTTGCATTACTTTCTCTCACATCCATCCTGTGAGAGAGGAAATGCAGCTTGCTATTATCCCCAATTCAAGAAAGAAGAATCTAAGGTTAGGGGGCGCCTGGGTGGCTCAGTCATTAAGTGTCTGCCTTCGGCTCAGGTCATGATCCCAGGGTCCTGGGATCGAGCCCCGCATCGGGCTCCCTGCTCGGCAGGAAGCCTGCTTCTCCCTCTCCCACTCCCCCTGCTTGTGTTCCCTCTCTCGCTGTGTCTTTCTCTGTCAAATAAATAAATACAATCTTTAAAAAAACAAAACAAAACAAAAACGTAAGTAGACTTCTGCTTATAAACTGGAGCTAGGACAACTAGGAAAGCTGAATAAAATACAAACATCAGGGTGAAGTCACTGGAGAGGCAACCTAAGACCTGAGAACTCAGTTCCTGGGAAGGCCTAGCAAGCAGAGAGTGAGCTGACATTCTGTCACAGCTTTTTCCTTCAGGCACCTGAATTCTTCCTGGAGGCAGGGGCAGTTAGAAGCAGCAAAACTAGCAGAGCTTTTGGCAGTCTTGAAGGGGTGCAGTCAAAAATTGAGGGGCTAAGAATCTGCGGTAAAGGAATGGGTGGAGAACCGGACTCAGCTGGTTTCCTTCTCAAGCGTGTTGCCAAATTCTGAGGGGAACTTCAGGCAACTAATGAGCAAAAACATATACCTCTGCAAAGCAGAGTGGATTTTTCAGCAGTTTCCTAGTTTTAAGAAAATGGAGGGATTTGGGCACCTGGGTGGCTCAGATGGTTAAGCGTCTGCCGTCGGCTTAGGTCATGATCCCAGGGTCCTGGGATCGAGTCCCGCATCGGGCTTCCTGCTCCTTGGGAGCCTGCTTCTCCCTCTGCCTCTCTCTCTCTGTCTCTCATGAATAAATAAATAAAATCTTAAAAAAAAAAAAAAAAGAAAATGGAGGGATTTAAGTTCTGACCTTAATCAGGGGCCCTGTGAATACCTCAGACTTTCAGATACATATTTCTGAGAACCGAATTTACTATTATGAAGTAATTCTCTTTCATGTTAATAATGGATTTTTTTCCTTAATGTCTATTTTGTTTCACATTATTGTAGCTAACTCTTTCTCTTAGTTACCATTAACATGGTATTAGCTCTTGCCATCTTTTGATATTCAAACTTTCTGTGTCCTTATATTTCAGAGATGTCTTTTCTGAACAGCCCATAGTTGGGTTTCATTATTTCATTCAGGACTTTAATCAGAGATTTTTGTCATCTATACTTAATATAATTACTCAGCTTTAAATCTGTCATCTTCCTGAATATTCTCCATACCTTGTTTATTTTTCATACTCTTTTCTTTCCATTTTTGTTTTCTTTTAGATTTTATCCTAGTATGTATCTCATTACAGTTTCTTTGGTAGTTATCCTAGCGATTACAACATGCATAATACCTAACATACTCTTATTCCTTACCATATAAGTTTGATATAATACAAGGATGCTAGGGCATTTTAATTCCAACTGTCCCACTGCCATTGGCATCATTTAAAAAAAATATATTTTAATTTAAATTTAATTAACATATACTGTATTATTAGTTTTGGAGGTAGAATTTAGTGATTCACCAGTTGCATCTAATACCCAGTGCTCATTATTTCAAGTGCCCTCCATAATGCCCATCACTCAGTTACCCCATCCCCATCCCCACTTCCCCTCTAGCAACCCTCAGTTTGTTTCCTATAGTTAAGAGTTTCTCATGGTTTGCCTCCCTCTTTGTTTTCATCTTATTTTTCCTTCCTTTCCCCTATGTTCATCTATTTTGTTTTCTTAAATTCCACATATGAGTGAAGTCATGTGGTATTTGTCTTTGACTTATTTTGCTTAGCATAATACCCTCTAGTTCCATCCATGTCTTTGCAAATGACAAGATTTCATTCTTTTTGATGGCTGAGTAGTGTTCCATTGTGTGTGTGTGTGTGTGTATATATGTGTGTGTATATATATATATATACACACACACACACACCACATCTTTATCCATTCATCTGTTGATGGACATCTAGGCTCTTTCCATATTTTGGCTATTGTTGATAGTACTGCTATAAACATTGGGGTGCATATGCCCCTTCGAATCACTATTTTTGTATCCTTTGGATAGATACCTAGGAGTGCAATGCTGGGTCATAGGGTAGCTCTATTTTTAACTTTTTGAGGAGCCTCCATACTGTTTTCCAGAGTGGCCACACCAGTGTGCATGCCCACCAACAGTGTAAGAGGGTCCCTCTTTCTCTGCATCCCCGCCAACATCTATGTTTCCTGAGTTGTTCATTTTAGCCATTCTGACCAGTGTGAGGTCGTATCTCATGGTGGTTTGATTTGTATTTCCCTGATGCCAAGTGATGATGAATATTTTTTCATGTGTCTTTTGGCCATTTGTATGTCTTCTTTGGAGAAATGTCTGTTCGTGTCTTCTGCCCATTTCTTGACCAGATTTTTTGTTTTTTTGGGTGTTGAGTTTGATAAGTTCTTTATAGATTTTGGATACTTTATCTGATAAGACATTTGCGAATATCTTCTCCCATTCTGTAGGTTGCCTTTTAGTTTTGTAGACTGTTTCTGTTGGTGTGCAAAAGCTTTTTATCTTGATGAAGTTCCAGTAGTTCATTTTTGCTTTTGTTTCCCTTGCCTTTGGAGACGTGTCTAGCAAGAAGTTGCTGTGGTTGAGGTCAAAGAGGTTGCTGCCTGTGTTCTCTACTCGGATTTTGATGGGTTCCTGTCTCACATTTAGGTCTTTCATCCATTTTGGGTTTATTTTTGTGTACGGTGTAAGAAAGTAGTTGAGTTTCATTCTTCTGCATGTGGCTGTTCAATTTTCCCAACACCATTTGTTGAAGAGACTGTCTTTTTTCCATTGGATATTCTTTCCTGCTTTGTCAAAGATTAGTTGATCATAGAGTTGAGGGTCCATTTCTGGGTTCCTATTTTGTTCCATTGATCTATGTGTCTGTTTTTGTGCCCGCACCACACTGTCTTGATGATTACAGCTTTGTAATACAGGTTGAAGTGTGGAACTGTGATGCCTCCAGCTTTGTTTTTTTTCAACATTACTTTGGCTATTCAGGGACTTTTCTGGTTCCATACAAATTTTAGGATTGTTTATTCTAGCTCTGTGAAAAATGCTGATGGCATTTTGATAGGGATTGAATTGAATGTATAGATTGATTTGAGTAGCATAGACATTTTAACAGTATTTGTTCTTCCAATCCATGAGCATGGAATGTTTTTCCATTTCTTTGTGTCTTCCACAATTTCTTTCTTAAGTGTTCTATAGTTTTCAAGTACAGGTCCTTTACCTCTTTGGTTACATTTATTCCTAGGTATCTTATGGTTTTTGGTCCAATTGTACATGGGATCCATTCCTTGATTTCTCTTTCTTTTGCTTCACTGTTAGTGTATAGAAATGTAACTGATTTCTCTGTATTGATTTTATATACTGTGACTCTGTTGAATTTCTGTATCAGTTCTAGCAGTTTTTTGGTGGAGTCTTTCATGTTTTAAAATTCTTTCTTTAGGGGCAACTGGGTAGCTCAGTTGGTTAAGTGTCCGACTTTTGATTTTGGCTCAGGTCATGATCTCAGGGTTGTGAGATACAGGCCCATGTTGGGCTCCATGCGGGATTGGAGCCTGCTTAAGATTATCTCTCTCTTCCTCTGTCCCCATCCCCCAACGCCCACTCACCCACACATTCTCTCTCTCTCAAAATAAATAAATAAATAAATAAAAATAAAAAAATTCTTTATTTAAAACTCTCAGGACTTTTAAAAAATTTTTCCAACAGAAATGTTCATTTAATTTATTCATGTAGCTTATCCCTTTGTTGCTGTATATTCTTTCTCGCATTTTCAGTCTTCCAACAGGGATCATTCTTTCTTTTGCCTGAAGAACAGTACACTAGTATTTTCTTTAGTGTAGGTCTTCTAGAGATAAATTTCCTCCATTTTTGACTGTCTAAAAATACTTTTGTTGGGGTACCTGGGTGGCTCGGTCGGTTAAGCATCTGCTTTCGGCTCAGGTCATAGTCCCAGGGTCCTCGGATCGAGTCCCGCATCGGGCTCCCTGCTCAGTGGGAAGCTTGCTTCTCCCTCTCCTACTTCCCCTGCTTGTGTTCCCTCTCTCGCTGTCTCTCTCTGTCAAATCAATCATTCAATAAATAAAAATCTTTAAAAAAAATAAAATACTTTTATTCTTTAATGATATCTTTACTGGATGTTGACTACCATCAAGATTGATAGCCATTGTCTTTCAGCAATTTAAAGATACTGTTCTACTGTGTTGGCTTTTTTGTTTTTGGGAGAAGTCAGATGTCAGTCTAACTCTTACTCCTTTGAAATCAATGTTTTTAATTCTCTGGCTGCTTTTAATATTTCTTAATTATCTTTGGTTTTTAGCAGTTAACTTTGGATTTGTTTTTATTTATTTTGTTTCAGTTATTTGGACTTCTTACGCCTTTGGCTTATTTCTTTTCATCATTTTTGGAAAGTTGTAGCTATTGCTTCTGGCTTATTCTCTCATCTCCTGGGGTTTCCAATTATAGAAATCTTATTCCTTCTCAGTGTATCTCCTATGTTGCTTAGTCCCTCTTCTTTATCTTCCTTTTTTCTGTATCTTGCTTTTTTCTTTTTTTTTTCTTCATGCTTCATTCTGGATATTTTCTTTGGCCTGTCTTCCAGTGCACTAATTAACTTTTTTTTTTTTTGTAGTTTTTAATTTTATTATGTTATGTTAGTCACCATACAATACATCATTAGTTTTTGATGTAGTGATCCACGATCCATTGTTTTCGTATAACACCCAGCGCTCCATGCAGTATGTGCCCTCCTTAATACCCATCACCGGGCTAACCAATCCCCCCTCCCCCCTAAAACCCTGTTTGTTTCTCAGGTCCATAGTCTCTCATGGTTCATCTCTCCCTCCAATTCCCCCCAGCCATTTTTCCCTTCCTTCTCCTAATGTCCTCCATGCTATTCCTTATGTTCCATAAATAAGTGAAACCATATGATAATTGACTTTCTCTGATTGACTTATTTCATTTAGCATAATCTCCTCCAGTCCCATCCATGTTGATGTAAAAGTTGGGTATTCATCTTTTCTGATGGCTGAGTAATATTCCATTGTATATATGGACCACATCTTTATCCATTCATCTGTTGAAGGGCATCTCGGCTCTTTCCACAGTTTGGCTATTGCGGACATTGCTGCTATGAACGCTAATTAACTTTTTAGCTGTGTCTAATCTGCTTTAAACATCCATTAATTTTTAATTTTGATTTTCTAATATTTCCAACATCTATTCTCTTTATTGTTTTTATGTCTCTACTAAATTTCTCAGTCCTTTCTTTTCTGTACTTGGCCATAGTAAATTTCGTTCTTTCTTTTTTTTTTAATTTTGTTATTTCTGTTAGTGTATAGTCTCATACCCATGTGGGCCTAGCTATTTTTCATTATGTGCTGAACCTTATATTGTTTTTAGAAATAATATGAGTCCTAGACTGATGTTACCTTCCTCTAGAGAATATTCTCAATCCAGTTTTAGGGATTCAGCTGATCTAACACTGAGCTTTAGTTATCTTTAAGGTAAATTCAGGGTCTCAACACAGATTAAGAGAGTCCATCAGGTCCACCCCTCCTCTGGCAGACCTTACCTTCCACTTCCTATGCCTGTAGGCTCAGGAAGCTAATGAAAGGTCCATTTACTTCCCCTGGTGCCCTCTTTAGAATTAGCAAACACCAAACACTAAGGGAAAAGCAGCTCCAAAAGTCAGGTACACCTTACGTGGCTTCTTCAGGACCCTGTCCTGGTAATTTTTCCTTTTATCCTATGACTCCAAGCAGACTTAAAAAAAAAAAAAAAATCCAGTTTTTGTAGTTGGCTCCAGGAGACAGGCAGGTCCTAATTACCTAGGTTGCCATAACCTAGGTGTATCCCAAGAAAAATAAATGCCATGGGAAGATTTTCTTCTTTCAAAGGCAAGAATTCTAGTACTTACAGTCATTACTGTTTAGTAACAGCTAAAGTTTTATAAGTATTTTTCTGCTTACCTGCTATTGCCTCAATACTTGGAATTGCAATAGTGCTGTAAGTACTGATTCTCTTACAAGACCATGTATAAACCAATGAGTCTTCTGTATTTTCCAGTCCCGAAACTGAATCAATAAAAAAAGAGCCCCACTTTTTAGATAATGTATTTAGAGGCTTTGCCTTTGATCCCTGAAACAAGAGAACAATGAAACCTATGATTAATTTTCAATGTTGTAAGTTTTTCCCCCATTAAGTAAATCAAATAGAAAAACTCTAGGAATTTCAGTAGTTTACCTTTAACCAAACCAGATACTATATAAAAAGGAAAACAAAGCTTAGAAGTTCTTTCCTCCTCTGGGAGTACCTAGGTGGCTCAGCTGGTTAAGCATCTGACTCTTGATTTCTGCTCAGGTCATGATGTCAGTCAGGGTGGTGAGATCGAGCTCTGCATTGGGCTCTGTGCTGATGAGCATAGAGCCTGCTTAAGATTCTCTCTCTCCTCCCTCTGCCAACCACCCCCCTCCCATCCCGCCCAATGCTCTCTCCCTAAAAAAAAAAGAAGAAGAAGAGTATCCTCCCCTGGTTTTGTTTGGGAACCCTTTCTCATCCTTTGGGATCTGGCCTGGATGCCATCTAGGACATTTTCCTTAACTGTCCCACTCTCAGGTAATCGATGAGGTCTTCTCCATTTTCCCACCCTGAGTTTATTCCTAATATACTACTACTCATGCTAACTTTAAATTATCGTACTATTTAATTACTTTTCACTTCTGGCAGACAATGAACTATAGAAGATTAGGAACTTTCTTATATATTATTGTAACTTCAAGACTTAATGTCTAAGTCAGAGCACGGATATAAAAATTGTAGACTAAAAGATTCATTAAAAAATACTTCTCAGTATTTTATGGATATGGAATAAAAGTAAGAATTGTAAAAACTCCCATCATATCCATATAATCTGGGTTATAAAATCTGTCATCTTTTAAATTTTTTTTAAAGATTTTATTTATTTATTTGTCAGAGAGAGAGAACACAAGCAGGGGGAGCGGCAGGCAGAGGGTCCTGGGATCGAGTCCCGCATCGGACTCCTTGCTCAGCAGGGAGCCTGCTTCTCCCTCTGCCTGCCGCTCCCCCTGCTTGTACTCTCTCTCTCTGACAAATAAAATCTAAAAAAAAAAAAAAAAAGAAGGAACTGTGTGTGACTGAAGCAGAAGTCTCTGATATTCTTAGCAAAGAGGCTTGCATAAATTAAAAACAGTATATGTATATGCTGAACAAGAGACTGGTGTTAGACTGACTTTTTAATAATGAATGGTCTTATTAAGATATCTCTGCTAATCCAATAAGCTCTTATGTTTGACACTTGTGATAAAAATTTTGAGTATTGCTCTGAAAAATTTGTATGTATATGTACACACATACACAGAGCTACCAAATCTTATTTCTCAATTACAGTGTAAGTAGATTTAATTAAGGATGAATCTATATAAGAGAGAGTATTATACATATGGAAACTAAGTTATATTGGATCTCTCTTTCTCTCCATACTTATATAAATTAGAAATGATCCATTTACAGTCTTGAAAAAGGAAAAAAAAAAGTACGTGTATGAATAATCATGTTAGGGTCACTGACCACCATGGAAAAGTAAGACGTTTTCAAGAACGACAAAAAGCCCTGAATATAACCAGTTTCCTCTACCTAACTTGTAACTTATTTTTATTGACAAAACTAACTACAAAAGAGCGCTGAGAAAAAAACCTAACAAAAAAAATGTCTCATAGAAAGTAATTTGAAGGAATCTAACTCCAAACTCATTATACCTTTTATGAGAATAAAAGAGAAAATGTCTTCAAAGCAGTGGTATTCAAATATTTACTATTACTATAGATAAAACTGAAAAATTACATAGCTGCAGCAGTCGCCAAAATAGTCAAATCATCAAAGTCAAGTAACATTTCCATTACATGGTGAACAGGCTTTGAGTGGACTACATTTTTTGAAAAGGAATAACATTTCCTTATGAACTATCCTTCATCTTAAGTGGGAACTGGCTTTTAAAAAAAAAATGGTCAATTGGTTTTAATTTAAAAACTACCCCAAACACAGCAATCTAGAAGGGTAAATTTTTTCCCCCACACTTAACTCCCTAATTTTATTATTATTATTTTGTCTAATGGGTAGTAAAAAAACAACTTGGTCTAATTTTCTTATTTGTTTTTTTTTTTGGAAGATTTTTTTAGAAGGGAATGAGGACACAATTATTATTTATCGCTTTCAATGTATCTGGAACATAAAGCCAACAAACTGATACAAATTCAAACTACTGGTTCTTTTAAAAAATATGCTTTATTTTTTAGCTACCCACTGGAGTACTGAGAGAGAAGTATCTCTAGTAGGCCTAACCACATTCCCTGCCCCAGATATACTCTTCATTCTGGGAATTTCTAAAGGGTAGTGGTTATGTTCCAGGCATAATTCTTTTTTTTTTTTAAGTTTTATTTATTCAAGTAATCTCTACACCCAATGTGGGGCTCGAACTCGCGACCCCGAGACCAGAGTGTCATGCTCTTCTGAGTGAGTCAGCCAGGTGCACCGGAGGCGTAATTCTTAATGAAACAGTGTTTGTTTCTGACTGAAATGCCAAATAACTGTTTACTAAAATAAAGATTAAAGTTTATTTCATTATAGTACAGAGTTGTCTAATGGAGTGAAGCTTTAGTGAACAATATTCATCCCAGTTTCTGTTTTTCTAATCTAACTCATAGAAATGTATCTCAGACTATTTTATTAGTAAATCAATTTAAAAATCCAGACTTTTATCAGTCTGATTGCTTGCAGGTGGTATCAATATCACCATTGTTTTAATTTGTGCTTCATGGATTACTAGTGAGGATAGGTATCTCCTCCTGTGTAAGCTTTCCCTGTCAGTCAACTGCTGGATACCTTTTCCAGTTTCTTACTTCAACAGATATAAATTCACTGTTGGTTTTTATTAGGTTCAACCATAAGAAAGTCCTGATGTTCAACTATTTTAGACATACGAAAAAGGGCAATTTCATAAGGTTCCATCTAGATGGGTGTTGTAAGACCCTTTTCCCTGTCTTTTACCCACTGGTTAACAGTATTCCAGGTATCTTGAACAAAAATATTTAATAATGATACAAAGTCATTTTTTTTCTATTTTTAAAAGATTTTATTTATTTATTTGTCAGAGAGAGAGAGGGAGAGAGAGACAGAGAATAAGCACAAGCAGGGGGAGCGGCAGGCAGAGGGAGAAGCAGGCTCCGTGCGTAGCAAGGAGCCCGATGCAGGACACGATCCCAGGACCCAGGGATCATGACCTGAGCCAAAGGCAGACGCTTAACGACTGAGCCACCCAGGCGCCTCTGATTCTTTTAAGAGAGAGAGAGAGAGAATGCAAGCGGGGAGGGGCAGAGGGAGAGGGAGACAGAGAATGTTAAGCATTTCTACACCCAGTGCGGGGCCTGACACGGGGCTCGAACTCATGACCCTGAGATCATGACCTGAGCCGAAATCAAGAGTCAGCCACTTAACTGACTGAGCCACCCACGTGCCCCAAGCTATTGATTTTTTTTTTAAGATTTTATTTATTTATTTATTTGACAGAGAGAGAGAGAGCATAAACAGGGGAAGCGGAAGAGGGAGAAGCAAGCTCCCTGCTGAGCAGGGAGCCTGATGCAGGACTCGATCCCAGCACCCTGGGATCATGACCTGAGCTGAAGGCAGACGCTTAACCATCTGAGCCACCCAGGCGCCCAAGCTATTGATTTCTGAATACTGATTTGGATCCAGCATTTTCACAACTCTCTTCTTAGTTATAATAGTTTGCTGATTTCCTAAGGTGGTCTATGCTAATGACCATACAACTCTGAAATAATCACAATTTTGTATCTTCTAACCTTAATTCTGTATTTCTTTTTCTTGTGGTGTTGGCCACCGCTCTGTTACACAATATAATTAATAACAGATATCCTTTGTCTAGCTCAGAACCTTGAAGAGCATGTGTCTCCATTAAGTATGGCTTTTTTTCCTCATTAAATTTTTCCATTACAGATTATATTCTCACTGGGTTTTGTTGGATAGCGTTTCTCTAGTTAAAAGGCTGGCCCCTTCTGGTTTGCTGAGAATTTCCATCATTAAAATGAATTATTTTGGCACCTAAATTTCATAATATGTTACTCTAAAAAGCTGAAGAATACATTTTTATTTGTTTTGAGTTAAAATGAAGAAACAGATGAGAATAGTAATGAAGGAAGCTAAAGAGGAGAGCTCCCTTTGAAGGCTAATCTTATGAGATTTAAGACTGTCCAAGTAATTACAGGATTAATGAAGTGACTTTTATTTCCCAAAACATAGATAAATGGAAACAAATTATTCTTCCTTAATCTCTCTCCTTAACTAGGTTTACTTTAATTATTAAAATGGGCCATTTTTGCTTATCTGTTATGCTCCAATATAGTAGAGTGGATAATCAACAGATGCAGTAAGATTTTCGAAAAAAATTTCTTATTTAAGCCTTTAGAGTGCCATTTGAGATATTCTCCGTCCTTATCTTGAGTTTCCTGTCACAAATGAAGGGAAGTAAAAGTGACCTTCACATTCCAGATGGTTTTATGGAGGGTGAAATTACTGTAACTATCCGAGAAACTGAATTCAAGCCTAAGTGAAACAAAATGCTAATCTCTACAGAATGTAGTAAATGTTTTTGTTCAGTGAGTGCATCAATCCTGAAATGATCTGATTTGTTTTTAAATTATACTGTTAGAAGTTCACTTAAGCTGCATAAAATTCACTAGAACAAGGAATTAAATCCCTTTGCATTCAGGTTTTGTACTCACTAAAACACTGCATGTGATATATATTCTGTGTATGACACTTGGTTAGAAAAATGAAATGACATTTTTCTTAATAATTACAAAATCAACAGAAGAACCCTCACAAGATGCTTTCTGTTTAGCTCTCTTTATGGACTGTTTCCCTCCTCCTATAGCAACTGAGGATGTCTGTATTCCTGTCTCCTCCACAGGGAAGCAGGAAAGAATCTGAATTCTCATGACATGCTGTACTTATACCAGGCTTTGATGTGCTGATGGAAAAAGTGCTCTGTGTATAGGAATACAGGGGAACTTAAATATGAAAGCAGTCTGGCTTTTAGAAGTCGTGGTCCTAGGTTGTGTTAGAAGATAATTAAAAAAAAAAAAACCCACAATTTTTTTTTTTAAAGATTTTTTATTTTTTATTAGAGAGAGAATACAAGCAGGGGGAGCGGCAGATAGAGGGAGAAGGAGAAGCAGGCTCCCCGCTCAGCAGGGAGCCCGATGTGGGGCTCGATCCCAGGACCCTGGAATCATGACCTGGGCCGAAGGCAGCCGTTTAACCGACTGAGCCACCCAGGCGCCCCACCCACAATTGTTTTTAATAAATTTTAAATCTGCTTTTAAATATAAGCAGAAAGATGTATGATTAGAAGATTGTCCTTAAAGTAGAGAAAACTAAGTTGTCCTGAAACATTTGCTAAGGATGTGCCCATCAATACAAATACTGCCTCAAAACAAACTACAAAAACATGGTGGCATTCAGTCTGACCAGGATAACTTTGGAGTCAAGTTGCACAAGAATACTCTGCTTTTTCAACATAATGCTTTAGGCCACAGCTGGGAATCCTGCAGCAAAACACCTGCCTCAGACCCCAGCAGAACAGGGGAATCCATCTGCCACAACTCCACTTTTCCTGGAATCTTAACAGTATGAGATGGGAAGACAGTTCAGGGCTAAAACTGGAACCTTCTGAGGGCTTTATTCTAACCTTGTCACTCGGCCAAACCATCCTGTTCCTTGCTTCCTCGTTCATGTTCAGTGGAGCAGGGTGGGTTGGGGAGGTAGAGTTTGATAGGAAAGGGACATTATTCCAATTTTGTCTTAGGAAATAAAACTTTCAAGCTGTTGACGCATCATTTCCTGTCTAAAAGTCAATTATGAACTCTGTTCATGTGTTTGTAACTAATTAACAAGAGAAAGGGGTCATGGGAAAAGGATGGGGCTACTGTTTATTATAAATGTTGGAGGAAACTTTCCCATGGATTCTTCATTTTCTTAATACAGTAACTGTAATTCTCAAATCATTCTGAAGAAACCAAATCTCCTAATTTCTCTTTAGTGAAAACCTTCTCCAAAGTCACTCAGGATACAAGGCCTACCTCCTATAAGACTGCTTTAAAGCTCTTCCTAACTCAAATAGTCCAAAGAACTTCCAATGTCATGTTGAAGACTAAATGCTACTCAATGGAAACATCTAACATCTAACATTTTGTTGGGTCTACTTATAGTTATTATTACTTTTTAAATAAATAGACTTTAGGTTTACAGATAAACAAAGCAGATAGTACAGAAAGTCCTCATACGTCTGTCCCCCTCCTGCCTCCCCTTCCCCCCACTGTCTCTCCTATTATTAACATTTGTTATCACGAATTAACCAGTACTAATGAAAGTCTGTAGTTTACATTAGGGTTAACATTTTATGTTGGATAGTTCTTTGGGTTCTGACAAATGCATAATGTCATGTTTCCACCATTACAGTATCGTGCAGAAGAGTTTCACGACCATAAAAATCCCTTGTGCTCCATTTATTCACCTTCCTCCCTCCTGAGCCGCTGGCACCACTGGTCTTTTTATTTTCTGTAGTTTTGCCTTTTCTAGAATGTCCTATAGCTGAAATCATACAATATATAGTCTTTTTAGATTGGTTTCTTTCACTTAGTAGTATGCCCTTTAGATTCCTCCATGTCTCTGTGTGGCTTAATAGCTCATTTCTTTTTATTGTTATTTTTTGTTTCTTGACTTGAATTTTTCCTTCTTTATCTGTTCCACTGGAATGAATTTAGAAATGCATATTATTTGCTGATCTTTCTTCTTTTTTGCTTTTATATACTATTTACCCTTTTCAGATTTATGACATATTTTACCTCAAGTTTTCACCTAAGTTTTATTCTTGGCAGCTCAGGAGCAAGTCTAAAGGAGCTACCAATTTATTAACTTATACTCATGAAGAAAGAGCAGAAGAGCTTTCATGGCCAAGCAAAAGAGACATAGGGTATGACTATAGTGAGTCAGGATCTGGTCGCCTCAGCATTAGCCAAAAAACACCCATGGTGTCATAGCACTTGATGAAAGCAAGAGAGCTGGGGAGACAGATGGTCAGTGTCATCTTGGCATTATTTAAAAATTATCAACAAGATTAAAAACAGAGCTGAGATAGCAAGAAGATCACCATAAGTGCCAACAGATTTCGTCGCTCTTGGCACACGCACTTTTTAAGATATGTCAAACATAAAGGTTGTTCCTTCCAGGGAGGAGCAGAAGGAAACCCTTACCTCATATTTTCCTTTCTTCTCTAGAGGCTCTGATTCTTCAGGCTTCCTGTCTCTGTCCCCTCTGAGCTCTTCCAGGATGAGAACTGTCTCCCAATTACTATAATGACGGGCTGGGAAAATGTCTGAATGCATGCTGTCACCAAAGTAAACGACCTGTAAGTCAGACAGCAAATTCTATTTGAGGCATGAGAACTGTGAAAGAAAGTGGTGTTCACTTCATGAAGCAGAAAAAAAATTCCTCAATACCTATTAGAATAGGACGAAAGTTACATAAACATCTTAAACTTCCTTGACTACCTCACAGGCGACTGTCAACTTGCCCCCTTTGGTTTGTGGGGCACCAGGTTTGCTGTAAGAAGTGACACAGTGCATTTGCAGGCCGAAGAAAGGCAGAGGCTGATTTTATTCAGTTTCCTGAAGAAGCCAGAGTCTATATGTTTACAGTTAAAGCTGCCTTTAGAATTGAAGAACTGGTGGAGAAGTAGAGATGACTTGTTACAATGGGTTATATTCGCAGGAGTACACATCACAACTGCTTTTCCAAGAGTTTCTGGGACCTACCCAGACTGGCTGAAACAATCTGACGGGGGTGGGGGGGTGAGGTTGGGCAAGTGGACTCTGGGAGGCTCCCCAGGTATTCTGAGGCAAAGCCCCATAGATCTAATCCACACCCCTCAATTTACATTTACCTGAGAAAACGATAAGGGAGTATGAACTAGAACCTCCAAGTCAGGATGCTCTATTAAACCCCTCAAGAGTTCCCAGGGGGCTATAGCAATGTGGGAGCCGATGGAGCAGGTGTCAGTTACCCACGATCTCTCTGGTAAACATTGTTTAGAAGAAAGTGTCCTGCTATAAAAAATGCACCAATGTCCAACATCAACAATGTGACCAGGATATCAAAAGCAAGCGTGTCTTTAGGCTAGTGTGTGGTGTAATTTCAATTAATGTTTGTTTTACATATAAAATTCGTTTGATGGACTGTTATCACGATATTATTCCTCAGGTATCCCACACACTAATCCAGTGTATCCCCTAGAACTGTGGCTCCCTGCTTGGAATCTTTGCTCTTCTCTGTTACAGATAAAGGTCCAGCCTAGATCACAGAGAGAAGGCTTATTTAAGCAGAAGAGGTAAAAGATTGGCAGATAGGCAGAGGTAGATGATTTCCCCATAGATAACTAAGCTGAATGCATTTAGAATTATGGTTTTAATTTATAATGGTTCATGTCTGCAAGTGGGCATCAAGAACCCCACCTCAATCAGAAAATACCTTGGGTTCATTTTTGCCAGTCATTTTCTTCAGAAGTTCATAAAGGTGGACAGCATTCCCTTGAGAGTACCAGCCAGGTTTATCAAGAGATGGCAGTGCTTCCTGCTCCTCATCATTTTCTGAAAATAGAGTTTGACAATCATATACCTTTTAACCAAGTGAGAGCACCCATTTGGGCAGACCGCACCGCACACGGCTGCAGGGTATGTACGAGATGGAACCATGTGGGGACAGGCGCTAGCATTCAGTGAGCACCTATGTCATTACAGGTCCTTCGTGGAGATCTCGATCCACAGATCTATCATTTTTCGTATATGTAGGATTTTTCAAATGATCTTTTTAGAGCAGTTTTAGGTCAGCAGCAAAACTGAGAGGTCTAGAGATTTCTACTATACCCCCTGGCTCTGCACATGCATGGCCTCCCCCATTATTGGTGATAATAATGTGTCAATGTAGGTTCATCAACTGAAACAAATGTACTACTCTGTGGGGAGGATGTTAATAATGGGGGAGGTATATATTATTTCATCCTCACAACAAGCCTCTTATTTGAGGAAAAGGAAGATCAGGGAAGTTATTTTGCTCAAGATCTCAAAGCTGGCAAGTAATTTATTATTAACCAAACTGCACAGTTTACCTTAGGACTTCAAAATGGGGCTAGAAGACCAGAGGGTAAGACAGAACCATAAACCATCTCTAAATTTGGATTCCTGGACCTGGATATGGCTCATGGATACAACTATAAACAAATACAACTATAGCAAAAGAGAAATTTTTATCTGGTATCCTCCTATAATGCTCAAATGCAGTGCTGTTTACTCCCCTCCATTATATTAAGAATAGGTCAGCAATGGATTAAAAAAAAAAAAAAAAGGTAGACTTTAGAATGCATTTTGAACTTCATTTTATAAAGTTTATTGTTTTTACAATCTCGCTCAGATTGATAAAACAGCGCTATACTATGAAAAATGCAAACCAGTATTATTTTCATACAAGTCAATTATGTTACAGCTTTAATTTAAAACTTTTTTTTTTTTTTTTGGACTGGGTAGAATGCATTAATTTAAGAACTCTTCCTATGAAAATATATATTCAGAAAAATTTTTTGTACCTAAGTTCTGTAAGATGTCCAAATTATTCCTCAAATCTTCTAACTTAATGATTAATGGATGTTTGGGTTATAACCATGAAGGAGAAAAAAACTCATACACCAAAGTTCAAACTTGTTCCTGTAACATACACATTCCCCCAAAACTGACTGAATAAAATTAGGAAACAGATAAGGGTTGGACAGAGAGATGGAAGAGCAATCAATTAAAGCAATTAGTAAATCAAACTTTTTATTTTCTTATTGTAAGAGCATATGGACAAGAAAAGTAAAAACACAAAATGGTAAAATTTTAGTAAAAGAGTTCCAAAATAACTATGGGGAAATGACACAGTTAAGGGTACGGCTAACAATCTTAAACAAAGGTAAGTTCTGTAACTTACCTTAGATAAGAAAATCTTGCCACAGAGAACAAGAATTTTGTTAAGAAGAGTTTTGTGTACCTGTGCGTGACCACTGACCTCAGCCCACAGCTGCTTGAATGTGGCTCACGTGGCCGCTCACACCTGTTCCCCCAACTCCCAATGTGCTTGGTGTTACTATCTTAATGTTTAAGTAGTATGTATTTATGTGATTTTTTTTGAATCGGTAATATACTTACATATATCAAAAGTCCCATTTTTGAACTCTCTCTGCTATGCACTTACCTGTTCTACAGAAAGGTAACCACTCTTTTATGCAGATAAAGCAAATATATACTCCTTTCCGCTCCCTTTTAAAAAACACATTTACTGAGGTATAACTGATACACAATGAACTGCACATATTGCCAGCATACAATGTGATGAGTTTTGGCGTATGTAATACCTGTTAGGAGCTGAACCGTGCTCTCCTCAAATTCATACGTGGAAGCCCTAACCCCTGGTATCTCAGAATAATTCAGAATGTGGCTGTACTTGAAGACAGGGCCTTTGAAGAGGTGATCAAGTTAAAATGCGGCCATTAGGGTGGGCCTAATTCAATACGACTGGTGTCCACATAAGAACTGATTACGACACATAATTAGGTGATTAGGACACAGAAGGAAGACCATGTGATGACAATAGGGAGAAGATGCATATCTACAAGCGAAGAAGAGAGGCCTCAGAAGAAACCAATCCTGCTGACACCTTGATCTCAGACTTCTAGCCTCCAGAAGTAAGAGAAAATATATTTATAGTGTTTAAGCCCTCCGTCTGTGGTTTATTGTTACAACAGCAGTCTTGGCAATTAATATTATACCCATGAACCCTCTATTTAAATGCATATATTGGCACACTTTTCTGCAATGTGATTTTTTAAAACTTCTCTAGATAATACATTGCAATCTGCTTAGTTTTTAAAATAGGAGCATGTTCAATAATTAATAGTCATCTATTGGTAGATATGAGATGTTGCCATTCTTTTGTTGTTATAAGGAAAATGTTACAAACAGAGTATCCTCACAGCCTGGTGGGATCAAATAGACTGACCTGGAAAAAACTCATTTTCTTTTTTTCTTTCAACTCTTTATTTCAACTATATTTTACAGAACACTTTAGGTATGAGGTATATAGCAGTGAACTAAATGGTCCAAGCCCCTGTCTTTAGGATGCTTATATTCTGGTAGCAATCTCTGACTTGCTAGAGGTTTACTAAACAATGACTTATAATTAAAAATATATTTAGAATTCTTTTGATTCCTTGAACTCCTTCCTATATTATGTGGACCTGACTGGACAGTGCATATTTACTTTTATATATCCCTTCTTCATTTTTGAGTTAGAATTTTTTCCTCCAATTATGCATTTTTATACACACTTTCTCCATTTTTTTTTTTTCCCTTGGCATGGGCGATGAGACATTTTTTAAATGTTTTTTTTAAAATTTATCTTTTTAAGTAAGCTCCAGACCCAATGTGGGGCTTGAACTCATGGCCCCGAGATCAAGAGTCACCTGCTTTACCCACTGAGCCAGCCAGGTGCTCCCAATAAGACATTTTTAAAGTAAAATGTCGGCTAAAATGCTTGTCTGTGTTGGGAGCCATAAAAAGGAAATTACATATTAAGAGAAATAAATACTTCAGTAATTTGGAGCAAATTTAATAGCATATCTACTTATCTACTCTGGTTTTGAGGGTTTACTATTCATTTGATATTCCTAATTCTTTAATAACTAATAGCAGTTAATTCAAAGTCTTTTCCTTTAGTTTAAATATTCTTTTTTTTTTTTTTTAAGATTTTATTAATTATTTGTCAGAGAGTGAGTGAGAAAGCACAAGCAGGGGGAGTAGCAGGCAGAGGGAGAAGCAGGCTCCCCAGTGAGCAACATTCTTAACTACCTAGCTCGTTTCCATACCTAATATGCTGGGACGTTTATTTCTTTTCAGAATAACAATCTTCAATTAACTGCACTAAGACATTCTCTCTTGGGGTTACTAAAATCTGTCATTGGTGATCTGACCAGTAGCATCTGCCTCACCAGAAAATTTGTTTAGAATGCAGAATCTAAGGTTATACCCAGACCTACTGAACCAGAATCTCCATTCTAACAGGATCCCTAGGTGGTGTGAGTGTACATTATAGTCTGCGAAATACTCATCTATTTCCTGAGAGAACAGCAGGAACAAAAACCTGATAGAGGAATAGAAGGTGTTCATTCTGGCAAGAATAGACTAATGGGCATCTCTGTAGGGAGCAGAGTGAAGATGAAAAGGTAACTTAGCAACCAGATTTTGGAATTTGCCTTAGGATGCTACATGGAGTGGGGAGCCAAGGAGATTCTGTGTGCATGTGATTAACTATGCAGTATGTACAGTATGCCTAACAGTAATAAGTGAATTACATAAAATATATTTAAAGGAAGTGACAAATGGAAATCTGTGCCAAGTATCTGAGGGCAGTGGGCAAGACATGTAGGGAAGGAGAGGTACAAAGTGAGGGCAGGGGGAGGAGTTAAGAGACTCCTAGGGAAAAGAGTGATGCCGGCCTAACGGGAAGGGAGGAGAGAGCAGAAACGAGGCGGTTTAAACAGGAGGTGATGCACAGCATACTGGATGTGAAAGGGGAAAGAGACTGGAGGTTTGTCGCTGGGGGCAATTCAGTGGATAGTCAAGTACTGAAGATAAAGAATATAAAGCGGCCAGCATGTTAGGTTGTATTGTTTCTAGGTGGAAGGAGAATATCAAGTTTGATTTCAGAATATTGAGTAGAGCTAGCTGTGTGCAGGAGGAAATACCGTATGAGGCTCTAGAAAAGAGGTCTCAGGGAAAGATTTGGGAGTCGGTGTGTTGGTGACAGTTCAGGTCAAGAAACCAATGACAGAGAGTTGGGTCGTGATTCCCAAATTGGGGGCGGGGGGAGGGGTACCTGGCAGCACGGGGAACACAGCAGTGAAAAAGATACAGTTGCTCTCCTCAACGAATTTACCATCTTGCAAGATGGACTCCTCTCCCCCGACCCCAACAAGGCCTTAGCACTGGCGAGGAGCTGAATCACCCAGTGATGGGGAGGGATGCTGCACACTTTGCCTGGAAGAGCCTCCTCGCCCCCCAAAGAATCCTTAAGCAGGGTTGGTAAGGGTCAGCCTGGCGGGAGGCACTCGGCTCCCGCCAACTCGGGTGCAACTCGCCCCTTCTCGTCTCTATGACAACGGCTGACGTCAGGCCTGTGCGACAGTCGCAAGGACACCCTGCCCTTGAGGACTGGCTCACCGGGCGCCTTCCATCCCAGAAGCTCCTCTGCCTTACTTTTACTTCTGCCTTTAATCCATTTGGAGCAGTGATTTGATTTACGTGACACTGGAGGCTGCAAGAGCCGACTGACATGACTTGCATGGTACAATAACGTTAACTGCCAGATGGAGGATGGTTTGAGGGTTACAGGGCTGATGGAAGCTGGGGGATCAGTCATTAAGCACTGTCATACCCAGCAGCGATGGGAGCGTAGCAGTACACACAAGGGATGATAAGGGCGGTGGCAGGAACGTGGTAGGTGACCAGCCTGAGAAAACTGAAGGGCAGGTTAGGATGTGAAGGGGAGAGAGGAAGAGAAGATGATGGATTTTCCTAGCTTGGGCAAGATCCGTTGGAAAAGTTGTAATGGAATTATGGAGTACGGAAAGAGGAGCACACCAAGATGGGAGGGGAAATTAATGAGTTGTTAAAAGCACATCAGGTTTCCTGCCACGCCAGGGCTGCAGGGTGTGGAGAATTTAGAAATACGCCTCTGTAAGTCAGGGAAAAGTGACGCCCAGAGATAAGGAATTGGGGGTCATTAGTATATAGGTGATAGTTGAAACCATCAGAGTGATAGCTGAAGAAAGGAGGGTTAATACGAAATGCTGGAAAACAATAACCTTTAATAAGAAACGTGAGACAATGGATATTAGTTCCAAACTGACTAAAAACTAATGGAGATACTTTTAAAAATATGAAATGTAGTATACTTTGACACTAATATTGAGGAAAAATCTGTTAGAGAAACAGGTGTGAAGCTTGGAAAATATGCTGTTTAATCATAAAGTTCATGGGACTACAGTATACAGGACTGGGATCAGGCTTTTCTCTGGTTACTCTTCAAAGGAATAAATTGTCTTTTTTTTTTTTTTTTTTAAGATTTTATTTATTTATTTGACAGAGAGAGACACAGCGAGAGCGGGAACACAAGCAGGGGGAATGGGAGAGGGAGAAGCAGGCTTCCCGCGGAGCAGGGAGCCCGATGCGGGGCTCGATCCCAGGACCCTGGGATCATGACCTGAGCCGAAGGCAGACGCTTAATGACTGAGCCACCCAGGCGCCCCTGGAATAAATTGTCTTAAACATAATGAAAGACTCTTCTTTTTTTGGAAATCAGTGAATTCAACAATGATGATCAACAATTTTTTCCTTTACTATTGTTAACAATTCTTAGAAAATTACATATTGATTTAGAAGCTAAATTTGTGTTAATGCTGTTTATTCACAGCTATTATTTAACTACACAGTTTCATTTGTGTGAAAATACTTTGATAACCTACTTTGTATTGGTTTTGAGCACAGTGAATATTTTACTGCAATAAAATATTTTAGTAGAGTGAGAGAAAGGTGAAGGGAAACCAGCAATGGAAACAATTAGAGGTAGGCAAAGAATCAGAATCAGCACCAAAATGAACACTACAACAGAACATCATGAATGAGAGTTTCTTTAATATTAGTATGATCCTCTTTTTAATAACAGTTCTGGCAATCTTATTGCTCTCAAAATGGGAATAAAGTATTTTGTGTTAACTAAAAACTGCAGGATTCATTGCATCTTCCACTGAAATATTTTAAATTGGAGGTCCCGAAAATTAGAGCTAGAAAGAACTTTAGAGATCTTCTAGTCTAATCACTTCTGGATGTGAAAAAAACAGAGGCAAGCTTTTCGATGTATCCACAGGAAAAGCATGAAATCCCATATATTCTGAGCAGAGAGCAGGGATGAGGTGGTTTAAACAGGACGTGATACACAGCATAGTGGATGTGAAAGGGGGAAGAGACTGGAGGTTTGTCGCTGGGGGGGCAATTCCGTGGATAGTCAAGTCATGACGATAAAGAATATAAGGTGGCCAGCCCGTCTGCAGTGTTTTGAAGAGTTCACTGGAGGTAGTGGAACCAGTGAGTATAGACAACTCTTTCTAGAATTTTAGCTGTGAAGGTACTCAGAGAATTGAGGTTTTAGCTGGAAGACAATGTAGAATCAGGGCATATTTTATGTTTTTTTAAACTGAAGATAGAAGAATATGCATATATATCAATGAGAATGGTCTAGACAGTTGTTTTCGACTGTGGCAGTTTTGCTCCTCAGGGCAAATTTGGCAACATCTGGAGACAGATTTGGATGTCACAACTTGGGATATGGGATGCTACCGGCATCCAGTGATTAGAGGCTAGTGATGCTGCTAAGCAGCCTACCACACACAGAACGGCACCCCTACTACCACTAACCAAGAAGGACCTGACCCCAAATCTCAGAAGTGCTAAAGTTAAGAAACCCTGGTCTGGGAGAAAGGGAGAGAGTGATGGTATTTTTTATATGTTGGTTTAATGTCTCCTATAAATCCCTGATGTTAAGAAATAACCTGTTACTGGGAATTCAAATAATACTCTTTGTGTTAAACAAACAGAAAAAAACTAAGTATTTCCCCTTCACAAATTTATATTTAAATACATAACTACTCAACACATTTTTTTTTAATTTTATCTGCAGGATTTTCATATTCCAAGAATATCTATACCTGTTCTGTACCTATAGTAGTCCTTATATTGTTCCACAGAGATTGTTTTTTTTAAGATTTTATTTTCAAGTAATCTCTACACCCAGTGTGGGTTGAACTCACAACCTCGAGATTGAGAGTTGCACGCTTTATGGACTGAGCCAGCCAGGTGCCCCATGGTCCACAGAGATTTTTAGTAAAATTTCACACGTACACCAGTAATGGAAAACAACGCACATTAAAAATATGCCAAATTTTCTTTAACATATTGGAGACCACAAATGCATGAACTTATGCTAACAAGTTACTGCATTTTTTGCACTGTATTTGTTTAATTGAAAAGTATCAAGAGATAGAAGGATGAACTGTTTAAAAACTACTATGTGGAGGTACCTATCTACAATCTGGTTTCTATCTCCATCATTCTCTCTGCATTTGATCTCATATAAGCCCATGGCTTGAAAATATCCCATGAGCTGATCACTCTCCCAAATTTATATCCTGAGCCTAAAGCTGTTCCTTTGGATTCCATGCTCATTTATACAATTTCCTAATTGTTAGTCCCAGTTGAATAACTTATAGGCATTTCAAGATTAACATGTTAAAAAATGATTTCCTAATAGCTATAACCCCCACCCCATAAAAACTTTTCCTCTGTGTTTTTCCTCATGGCTGCAGATAGTAGCACCATTCACCCATTTGCACAATTCAGAAAAAAGAAAAACCAACAAGTCATTTTTGATTACTCTTTTCATCCTCGGCTTCTGAAAGCATCACCAAGTCCTGTTTTCCATCTCCACAATGCATCTTAAACATGTCTACTTCTCTCCATCTCTAGTACTACCTCCTCAGACCAAACCACACTCTCTCATTTGGGACACTCAGTGCCTATCTTTCCCACATTCGATCCATTCCCCACCTCGCAGCCAAAGAGCTCTCCGTGTCACTCATACCTCAATTGAATAACTTCTCAGAGCTTGTGGAATAAAATTCAAACCCGTTTCCACAGTGCATGGGGCTTCCTGCCTCCCCAACTTCCTCTCCTCTCTCCCCCTGAATCACTGGCCTCTTCTCTGTCATTGGAACTCGCCAAAAGTACTCCCACACTGGGCCTGTGCATTTGTTTGTCCTGCTGCCACTTTTCCTCTGCTCTTCTCATTACTGGTCCCTCACATCCTGCCTGGTAAGTCGTCTTGCCAGATCTTTCTGGACAGGCCTTCCCTGGTCAATAGATCTAAGGTGTCCTCCTGGTTTACCTCATCAGGAAGTCATTTCTTTTCATGACGGCTAACACGGCCTGAGGCCTATAATCATCCCCATGCATTTACTGACTTGCTCAATGTGTTTATGTTTTCCTGTGAGGGGAAAGAAGACCTGGTATCACTTTTATACCCCTTGTTGTATTTAACATAGTACTTTGCACATGGTTGTCAGCCAACAGGTATTTATTAAGTAACTGAATGAACAAATCTTAAATAAGAGAAGGAAGAAACAAATGTTAACTTACCAAGTGTCCAGAAAGGTCTCTGAGTTGGTAAATGGGAGAAGAAACCAGGCTTCAACGCATTTGTAATCACAATGTCAAAAAGATCTGTAAAATCATTCCTAAAAAGCAACAGTATTTGTCATAATTTTAAGGAATTAGAAAAAATCCATATAAAATAGAACTTAATCTTTATCTGACCACAGAATCATTTCTTATTTTTTGATTAACTTTTATATGCTTTCTCTATATTTTATATGTAGAAATAGAAGGTGGTTGAGTAATACTCTTCTGACAACACCTTGAAGTATACACATAAGGGGGAAAAAATGCACATTAACTCATTAACTGGGTCTAAGCTGGCCTTCTCATGATGGTAATAGTTACAGTGAATGAATTCAATAGCTTCTAACAACAAAAATATTCACGAACTAGGTCTTCAAATGTGGGGCCTGAACTCTGGGTTTATTAGCATGAAGCTATTAATAATTTTGTATGTTACATGGATCCTACAGAAAGCTACCATCATATCAAGTCAGGGGACATCTTTTAGAGTGTTCAAATATGAAGAAGATACATTATTTTGAAAATCAGTGTAATCTTACAATGAGGTAATTTTAGATAACAATAATAGTTTTTTAGTCTGTATTTGATACTATATTAGGGATCATTTGGGATGGCAAAGGAAAGATGGGACTCACCACAGCATTGGGGGAGATGATATTTGCAAATCTAAACTACACTGAAGAGAAAATTGAGAGGAAGAAAAACTTGGGTTATCTATGCAAATGAAAAAGAAAGTAAGAGTGCTTATTCTGAAGCATGGTCCCACTATCAGGACAGCAGAGTCTCACGGTCAAAGAGGCACCGTGCAGGGCATCCAGGACTCCTGCCTTAATTCACTCCAAGGATCCCAGGCCTACGTATTATTCAGAAAGCAGAAAATCCACTGGTAGGTCGTAAATATACTACAGACCAATCTAAACCCACATGTGCTGAGGAACATGGACATCAGGAGGCTAAAGAAGTCAGCGAGAGGTCAGTGTTGACGGTGAAATTTGCTTCATACTCGGCAATTTGGTATTTGCTGAAGTCTGAGGGAACGTTGCGGGGGATCTAACAGCCCATTTTACAATCTGGCTGTGACCATGGATATTCCCTGGTATTGCTCACAAGAATGACATAAATAAATGATACTGAAGCTTACCAACTACTTGAATACTTTACCTGTGCTACCCTATTTAGACTCCCCACTCACACCTATTCGGTATGACTGTCCCATTTTTAAGATGACGAGATCGAGGACGAGAGTGGTTCCAGAACATACCTGAGGTCTCAGAGCAGGTTGCAAGGTCGGGCTTGAACCCATGTCTGTCTGAAGTCTCTGCATTTATACTGCCTTGACTTTCGTGGATGTCAGTCTCATCCCTGGCTGGGCTGAATGGCGGAGTAACGGCTCCACACCAAAAGGACCAGAGGGGTGGTACTCCAGGCAGGTGTCAGGGAGCGTAATCCACAACTCAGTGGCCCTCAGTGATCATCCGAAGCCGAGAAGCCGAATTCATGGAGCGCTGACTGCAGGACATGTTGTCCATCAACCTTTCAGAACCTCTAAAGTCCAGACCATTGGCGGGCTATGGGCATACTGGCCCTAGTGATAGTGCTTTGCTAAACTGTACTTGGGGGGGTGTTGCCGTCGGCAGATGGTGAGAAACAGCCACTGGTCACTCAGCATTGTCTAATATGAGGCTCTGGTCACGGGCGAGCACTTGTAAGGCAGCACCGGCCTCATCAGTATTTTCTAAGACCACGAAAGTGGAAAGACTCATCACTTACCCAAGAATATATTCACAGAGAAGTCGACAGTAATCACTGTGCGAACTCGTAATTAACAAGAGAATTTTCCCGGCATTCTTGAGCTGCTGGAGCCACTTTTTTACAGAGTCAGGACAAGTGTGTAAATATCTGCCCGGATCTCTCTTTATTTCTGGAAAATATATTCCACAGTTTTCTGAAAAAGAAAAATGTCAAGGAGATTTTTCTTTAAAAAAAATTTTTTTTGACTCAGTGTAGTCTCAAATCAGTTCATCTCTCTCAAAGCTATAGATAAAATTAAAAGGAGAAAAACTTGGTTCAGACATAGCAATGATGCCGTTATTAACTGCTTCTTAAGAACACTTCCTGTTCAACACATGAAGAAGTGCTCAACATCGCTCGGCATCAGGGAAATCCAAATCAAAACCTCAATGAGATACCACCTCACACCAGTCAGAATGGCTAAAATTAACAAGCCAGGAAATGACAGATGTTGGCAAGGATGCGGAGAAAGGGGAACCCTCCCACACTGTTGGTGGGAATGCAAGCTGGTGCAGCCACTCTGGAAAACAGTATGGAGGTTCCTCAAAAAGTTGAAAATAGAGCTACCATATGATCCAGCAATTGCACTACTGGGTATTTACCCCAAAGATACAAAAGTAGGGATCCGAAGGGGTACGTGCACCCCGATGTTTATAGCAGCAATGTCCACAATAGCCAAACTATGGAAAGAGCCAAGATGTCCATCGACAGATGAATGGATAAAGAAGATGGTGTGTGTGTATGTGTGTATACACGTACATACAATGGAATATTATGCAGCCATCGGAAAGAATGAAATCTTGCCATTTGCAACGACACGGATGGAACTAGAGGGTATTATGCTAAGTGAAATAAGTCAAGCAGAGAAAGACAAGTGTCATATGATCTCACTGATAGAGGAATTCCTAATCTCAGGAAACAAACAGGGTTGCTGGAGTGGTGGGGGGTGGAAGGGATGGGGTGGCTGTGTGATAGAAATTGGGGAGGGTATGTGCTATGGTGAGCACTGTGAATTGTATAAGACTGACGAATCACAGACCTGTACCTCTGAAACAAATATTACTATAATTATATGTTAAAAGGAAAAAAAAAGAAGATAGTAGGAAGGGAAAAATGAAGGGGAGGAAATTGGAGGAGGAGACGAACCATGAGAGACTATGGACTCTGAGAAACAAACTGAGGGTTCTAGAGGGGAAGGGGATGGGGGGATGGGTTAGCCTGTGATGGGTATTAAAGAGGGCACGTACTGAATGGAGCACTGGGTGTTACATGCAAACAATGAATCATGGAACGCTACATCAAAAACTAATGATGTAATGTATGGTGATTAACATAACATAATAAAATAAAATGAAAAAAAAAAGAATACTTCCTGTTCTTTCCTTAAGAACACAATGATTGAGAATGCCAGTTGAGAATGCCTGTTGGTTATTTGATAGGAACTGATAAACTATTAGAACAGATAACACAACATGATCAGTTTTAAATCAGAGAAAACCTTACAGCATTTGAAATGTCAATGAATAAATATTCTTTCAATCATTCAACAAATTATTTGCTGAATACAAATGACAAATAAATATTCAGACAATGCACCAGAAAGGTGTCGTTGGCGTGAAGCAACCGAGAGGGCAGCTGGGTTCCTCAGAGTCACAGGAGAGTTTCAGATGGAACTCAGACCAGAAGGCCAGTCTATTACAGCCTCCGAGAGGTGCTGGGATGTCAAATGGAAAAGGCCAGAAGGCACTGCACGGACAGCAAAAGCTGACGGGCTTCTCATCACCGAGGTGGGCTTGCTGGCTCTGCCCCTCGGAGTCTTCAGAGCCGACAGGGGTCAATCTGAGCTCTGAGGCAGATGCTGCCAAGACCTCCAGAAGTTCTGGTCAGACGCACCCGCAGTGCTTGACACGGTGCCTTCAAAGTTGTGTGTACTTAGCAGACAACTGCAGATTTGCCTGAAACGCTACTAGATTCATAAAGTACTTTCGAGATACTATTCTCTGGGGGCTAGCATTAGTAAGCAGATAGAGAGAACCCAAGTTACTGCTTTCTTTAAACTGCTAAGAAAAGGACACAAGCATAAACAAAACCACAGGAGAAAGAGCTTGTAATGGACACTAAGCTCTAGCACAGATAAGGGCTATTCCTGTAATTCTGTACAGTCTCACGCACTTAAAATAACAGTTATGAAAGTAACATTTCAAGAAACCAGGAGAAAGAAGAGTCTCTAAGCAAAAATACAAAATGCAACAAAACCAGAAATGGTAACAAACACTGTTGTCTGCCTGCCCAAATCCACCCTCCCGCCTTCTTCTCTGCTGGAGCTACTGATTTTCTTTGAGGTTTCATCCTCCTCTGAGGGGCTGGGTGCTCAGGGAGGGCATGGGTCTCTGTCAGTCTAACCTGTCGTGGGAATTCCTTCCCCCTGCACTGGATTGTTTAGGAAGTCCCAGAGACCCAGGCCTGGCCAACGGGACCTGAGAACTCTGCTGGGGGTCTCTGGAGTCCTGTAAGGCAGCGGAGAAGAAATCTACATAGCAGAGTATTCATCCCCTCTTCCACTCTGGACTTGGCTTCCACATCCTGCCTAGAACTGCAGCCATCCCCAGCACAAAGCCCAAGTCTGACAGAACCAGGATGGCCAAGTGGAAATCTGAAAGGAACCTGGGTCCCCGATGACCTCATTAGATCTCTAATTAAGAGACTGAATTAACTAACCACCGCTGAACATCCCCCCCCCCCCAACTGTGGACTTCTGGTCACATAAGTCAATTTAACAGCAGCTTAAATATCAAGGATATCTATTGTTTGCAGCCTATAGCTTCTCTATTCGGTATCTATTCAGAACCCGATATACTGCAAGTATTAATCACAACCAGACCAAAAAAAAAAAAAAAAGAAAAAAGAAAAAGAAAAAAACAACCATGTTACAATGTAAGAATAATATTCAGACATCAGGAGACCGAGAACAAAAACAAAGTCCACGCTCTTCTTGTATTTTGCCCTACAGGTACACTGTGTAAATCCCTAGGATCTCTTAATATAGTACAACTAAGTAGTGACCCTTAAAAAAATCTGTTTTTCAGAGAAGGTACTAGTAAGAAAGGGCTAATTTATGAAAGAGAAAATAATAAAATCAAATAGCTAAGAACAGAATAGTTTGAGGAATGACTATCCAAATAAATGGCAGAGGCTGAGTCAGAATTTATTACACCGAAGGGAGTCATACGTGAAATTCTTTCACCCAGAAAAACAAAGCTTTTGTAGCAATAGAAATATTATGGGATAGATAACAAAAGATTTGTGGTATATAATGCTGAAAACATTTACATACTTAAGTGTGTGTTTTCAGAACCAGCAGCTGAGAAAAGGCTGTTTTCCATAGCTGTATGTGTTTAGTGCCATCTAGTGATCAAAATATAAATTACTGCTACAAAACTATTCCATTTCCAAATGAATAAAAAATAAAGTACATACATTTAAATACTGTATTTGAAAATTCTTGCCTAAATTGGTTTTATTAGTTTTCTTTAATAAACGACCCAAAAGCGTGCACACATAATACTTTAGTAAGAGAACATTATTCCCTGAGGCAATAATACGGGTGTTCTCATTTTGTTCATAAGCCAGATTAAAATGAACAAACTAAAATCTCCAAGTCCTGTACAAACAGATACCCAATGGTAGATTATGGGTTGCTCTTATTATAAATGATCACTGACTACTGGGGAATATATTTTCATTCTCTTGTAACCTCAAATCATTAAAGGAATAGATATAATTACACAAGTACACACTCATCTTTTTTAAAATTTATTTTTATTGAGATATAACTGACATATAGCATTGTGTAAGCTTAAGATGTACAATGGGTTGATTTGCTATATTTACATATTGCAATATGATTACTACCCTAGTGTTTGCTAATACCTCTGTGATTTCTTTTCCTTTTTTGTGGTGGGAACAATTAAGATCAAGTCTCTTAGCAATTTTGAAGTTTATAATATAGTACTGTTGTCTATAATACAGACTCATATTTTTATTGAAATAAATCAAGCTACTAAATCAAAGGAGTTAGGGTGAACATACTACACTGGATTATAATTGTCCATTAAATTATCTCCCTGAAGTGACTGTAAACTCCTAAACGTAGGGAGCCTGTCTTTCTGCTTGGCACAGAGCAGTCACTCAATGAATGACCACTTAAATTAGTGTGGGGGCAGACACAGGAATATTTGTTTACTTAAAATTAAAGTAATAATATGATTTGTAACATATAACCTGTGACAACAAACTATATTATTCATGCCCTGTCAAAGTCATCCTATCTAGAGTACCTTCTTTTTTTTTTACCCCTATTGAAAAAAATAATCGTGTTTAATTATATTCTTATACTGATAGGTTAACATTGACTGGACAAGACAGGGAATTTAGACCTAAGGCAGAAAGAAAGGAATGGTCTTGTTTGTTGTCAACTCACAAAGTAGCCTGTGTTTTCACTTAACTTCAAAGGAATTCTATTTCACGGCCACTTTATGTAACTCATTTTCCTGGCCTTTCCACCCCTCTTATCTCCTTAGATGCTGGTATTTTCTGTAACCAGATGGGATTAAAAGTACATTTTTTAACAAGCTAGTTCTAAAGAATAGAAGTTTACCTCTTTTATATTAAAAACTTGGTTAATATAGTCATGAAAATAATAGCAAAGTGTTGCAACAGTCTGACATGCACATAAAATGGCCTGAATGTATCAAAACGTGACTGAGGATTTAGGGACCTCCTGTGGTTAAAAAAAGAAGTACAATTTGAATATTAAAAAATATACTTTTTAATTTTAACAGACAATTGTGCCACATCACTCTTTCTGTCTTCACGGAATAAGTAAGCATTTTTTCTTGTTAACTGTGTCCCTACTGTTTGTGTGATTTTGTGGCTGGAGTTTTCAAAGCTCTTGGCCAAGGGGATTAGAGATGCCGGGATGCCAACACCTCCACCATCAGACTCCAATTAAGGTCTGTTGGTGTTTCTACTGTAGAACATAATATAGGAGAGACAGAAATGTTTACAACCTTTACAAGTTATAGAACAGCATGCTAGTGAACAGCTAAAATGTTTATCTCTAAATTGTTTAAATATACTTGCTGTAAGAGATGA